AGAGGAGAGGAGAGGAGAGGAGAGGAGAGGAGAGGAGAGGAGAGGAGAGGAGAGGAGAGGAGAGGAGAGGAGAGGAGAGGAGAGGAGAGGAGCTCTTACCGAGCGACTTGAACACCTGCATCCCACCAAACTTGCCCTCGAAGAGCACGGTGTTGTTCAGGGGGTTGAACGCACGGATCATGCGGATCAGGAGCACCTCGAGGCAACCTGATGTAGGCAGAGAGAGCGCAGACGAGGGCAGGGCAGGGCAGGGTAGGGCAGGGAAGGTCAGGGGGTTTCCATCATCCCAGGACCAAAGGTAAGAAAGAGGAAAGTCCCCAGTGCACGTTTGAAGTCCAGATTGTTCATTCCCAAGAGCAGAATGGTTATTCCAACAAATCCGTTTTGGGTTTTGGGATTGGTTGGGGTTTTTTTTTTCAGGTTTCCAATTGTGACCACAATATTTCACCGAAGGGAAATATTATCCAGTCGTTGGCAGAGAGACCAAGGTTGTGGTGGAGCACCGAGAGAGGAGGGGGTGAGAACAAAATAAATAAAAAGAAAACGGGAGGAAGAAATGAAAGAACGAGTTAAACTCCAGCGTGTCGGGCACGGCCAGTTCTGGCTTCAGGGTACAACATCCTGTTGGGACACAGGCACGCACCCCCTGTGCTGGGTGAGGCTCTCAGCCCCCCAGCCCTGATGAGGAACTGGGAGGCTTTTCCACTGTTTTGGGGCTTTTAAGCATTCAGGGCCCTGGCCTGGGCACGGCATCACCAGCTCGGGCAGATGGACGGGTGGGGGACATGGGTGTGCGCTGCCATCATCCTCCTCTTCCCAATCTCTTGCTGGGAGAAGAGGCCAAACCTTTTCTCTTCTCCCTCCCTGCTCCCCTTTGGACTTGGCACCCATTTTCCCAGGGGAAAACCTGCTGTGCTCATTTCCATCCCAGCTTCTGGATGACATTTGGATGAGAGTGACCGGGAGAAAAGCCTCTGCCCAAGGCAGCCACTCCCCATGTCCCCTCCCCGCACCACCACCCTTACACAGGACCTTCAGCTCCTCCCAGCCCAGCCCTGGGAGAGCTGGGGCAGCGAGGGAGGGGAGGCTCCAAGAGGAAAGCGCCAGCCAAGAGAAAAGATGGGATACACCTTTGGCACCGCGGCTGCTGCTCGGGACAGGTGTTGGGGACACAGGGGGGGACAGTGGGGACACAAAGGGGGGTGGCAGGGATGCGAGGGGGCAGCGGGATCCCCCCCCTTACCGGCTTTCAGGAGGATGATCTGGTCGTTCTGGCAGAGCTCCATGAAGCCGTCGATGCGCTTGGCGAACTCCACCACGTACTGGATGGCGTTGGAGATCTGCAGCGAGCACTGCTGCCACATGGCCTCGCAGCTCTGTGGCACAGGGACGGCCCTCAGGGCGTGCTGCCCCCCCGGCTCTGCCATTGCCCCCTCCCCGCCACGCTGGGGGGCAGGGAGGGGACCCCCGTGCCGTGCCAGGCGTGGTGGCATTAGGACACCTGGGACACGAGCTGCCACCACGCCTTCCCCCCGGCACTGGGCTTTTGCAGCTCCTGAAGCACTGAAGGACCCTCCTTGCCTTCACCCCCACCCCAGGGGATGCTGGTTATGGTGGGGGGCCATGGCAGTGGCACTCACCTTGCTCTGCAGGGCACGGACCTCCTCGGGGGAGTAGAGGCTCCAGGCCAGGCGCTTGAGCTCCTCCGTCGTGTACTGGCACGTCTCCAGGTGAGACTTCACCACGTTCTGGGCCACCCGGTCTGCAGACAGTGCTGGTGAGCCCCCTGCCCCCACGCCCCACACCCCTCCTCTCCTGGGTGTGCTGGGGGGCTGCTGGGGCTGGGGGCTGGAGGGGAAGAGGGTCTTGGTGTGGTGTCACAGGGGTGTGAGCACAGACAGTGTTGGGGGCTGTCCCCAAGGCACAGCAGGGGATGTTCCACACAGTCTCAGGTGTGCTGAGCTCCATCCGTGCTCAGCCTGGAGGAGGGGATGGGCTTGGGGCTGCTCTGAGAGCCAAGGACGGGTCAGTCCCTCACTATCACAGAATAAAACCCCAGAATGGTTTGGGTTGGGAGGGACCTCGAAGCTCATCCACTGATCCACCCTGAAGCTCGTTCTACCCCCCTGCCATGGGCAGGAACACCTTCTGCTATCCCAGGTCGCTCAGGGTGTGCCTGGTGTGGGCACCCAGAGCTGGATGTGTCCTGCAAGGTGCTGGGGTGGCCCCGAGCGCCGTCCCCAGGGCTCCACAACCCCCCATCCCTCCGGGGCTGCCCCGGCACTCACCGATCTCGAGCACAGAGATGTCGGGGGGCAGCTGCCCCCCCTCCAGCGCCCCGTGGGCGAACAGGGCCGGCTCCAGCATCAGCTCGTAGATGGACTCCTGCTTGATGAGCGTGGCATCGGCCACGTCCAGGCTGGACTGGTCGGGCGAGGGCTGTGCCGAGGCCAGCAGGTCCAGGTTGTAGTAGGTGCTGCTGCCGTCGGGGGTGAGGGGGAAGTCGAAGAGGAGCCCGTCGGACAGCGTGGAGATGTCGTCCAGGTCCGAGAGCCCGCTGCTCACGCTCGTGGTGTAGACGCGGCTCAGGGGCTCGGGCTCATCCTTGGTGCCCCCGCTCTGCTCCTGGCTCTGCTGGTGCTTCTGCACCTCGGCGTAGAGGCTGTCCCGCTGCTTCTTGGACATGCGGCCGAACTTCACCGCTGCCCCGGGAGAGACGCGGCCGTGTCAGGGCAGCCTCGCCCCAGAGCAAAGCCGGGACCACCCACCCGCCCGGGAAGGGTCCTGACTCCCGGGGCAGCCGCTGTACGAGCCCTGAGAGGGGCAGGGACCCCGCCGGATGCACCCCCCGCCCCAGCCCAACCCTGGGTCGAGCAGAACAGAACCGACTGAATCGACTTCCCGCGGAAAACGCGAAAGCGTTTCTCGCTTCCCAAACCCCTCCTTGCCCCGCGCCGGCCCTGCGGGGGGAGCACCTTCATCCCGACAGCCCGACCGGCCCCTGGGGACCCCGGGCACGACTCACCGTCGCGGGACATGCCCAGCGCCAGGCATTTCTGCAGGCGGCAGTGCTGGCAGCGGTTGCGGTTGGTGCGGTCGATCAGGCAGTTCCTCTGCCGGGAGCAGGAGTAGCTGGCGTTGTTCTGCTGGCTCCTCCGGAAAAAACCCTGCGCGGGGACGGGACGGGTTGGGAAAGCGCCCGGCTGGAATGAATGCCAGGCCCCCGCAGCTGCCCCCACCCGCCGGCAGCCCCGGCGTCCCCGGGCTCACCTTGCAGCCCTCGCAGGTGATGACACCGTAGTGGATCCCTGAGGACTTGTCTCCGCAGATCTTGCACGGGATCACCTCGATTTGGGCTGGGGAGGAGGGGGAAAGGGGGAAAACCGCGGGGGTTAATGGTGGTCAACGCTGAGCAGGAGGAGGGAGCTGGACCCCTCCCCACGACAGCACCTGGGGAAACTGAGGCACGAGAGCTGGACCCACTGGCAGCTCAGCCCTTCCTGCAGCCCCTGCAAGGATGCTTGCACCTCAGGGAGGTCCCCAAGAAGGCTCACACAGGGTGTGGGGTACCCCCATCTGCTCCCCCATCCCCTCCAGCAGCACGAGGCAGGGTAGGAAAGGCCTCGGAGCCGGGAGATCACAGGATGTTTGTGCACCAGCCTGCCCAGGACCCTGGTTTGGAATCATTCCCCTTACTCTTCAATCAGTGTATGCAACAGGACAGGGACATCCTTTGCACAGGGACCATCCCAATCCCTGCAGCTGTGGATGCTCTCCTGCCACAGAGCTGGACCAAACAGAGGGTCTGGGCCCTCCCCATCCCCCCAGCAGCTCCTCTGAAACCCAGGACCGATATAGCCATCCCCAGCTCAAGGTCCCGGCCCCCTTCCCCCCGCAAATCCTCTTCCCTCCCCGCTTCTGCTTCGCTGGCACTGAGCTGCTAATAGGCTTCGTCCTCCTCATTTTCCAGCTGCCCCAGATCTGCGCTGGCTCTGCCCTCCCCACGCGCGCCGGGGGGGGGGACGCAGGGCACCCCCGGGACTCGTACGTGCCTCCCGGCATCTCTGCACCCTCTAATCCCCGCCGCAGCCCCGCACCCCCCGGCCGGGCTCAGCCCGGCGCTGCTCTCCAGGGCGCTGGGCAGGAGCCGCCGCGCCAAAATAACCCCCACGGCCAGATTATGGTTATTTCCAATCTCCTGGGCCTGTGCAAATCCCCGCTCGGGTAATTCCCTTCTGCCTCTCTTCTCCCCCGGGAGCCATCGGCTCTGGGAGAGGGATGTGTTTTGTGGGGCCGTCTCTGTGAGGGACAGTCCCAGTGCTCGGCCAGTGCCACTGCCCCCCGGCATCCAGCAGTGTCCTGGGGTCCCTCAGTGATGCAGGGAGGGCTGGGCTGGGGCAGTGGAGTCTCCCTGGGCACAGGGGCAGCCAAGGTGTCATCAGTCCCCCAGGGCTGCCTTCGGTCCTCCATGGATGTTATCAGTCCCCCAGGGATGCAATTGGTACCCCCAGGGATGCAGCTGGTATCTCCAGGATGCAGTTGGTACCCTGGGGATGCTCAGTCCCCCAGGACTGGCATTGGTCCCCCCCAGGGCTGCCATTACTGACCCCTCTGGGGGAGATTTGCTCCCGGCCACACTGGGGAAGGACTCGCTCCAAACCCAGGTGCAAGTGAGGGATGGATCCCTCCTGAATCCACTGCCTCGCTGCTCAGGAGCCATCCCCGGGGCAGGGGCAGGAGTGCGACCACCTTGAGTCTGAGGGGAACAACACACTGCCCTGGGAGAAGCCCGGCTCAGCAGCCTCAGGAAGGAAGGGGAAACCCCCAAATCACCTGCCCCTCCCCAAAGCTGCTGCCTGCACCTCTGCTGTGGTTCTGGGCCTGGGGCAGCAGAGCTGGCAGGAGTGGGCAGGGAGCAGGCAGGGATGGCCAGGGCATCCTCACAGCCCCCTCAACTGCACTGGCATCACAGCCCCTTTGGTTGAGGGATGGAGGCATCGACAGGGCCCTGTGTGCCCACCCCCAAACCACCACCCGGCTCCGATGACCGAGACACCCTCCAATTCCCTGGATCCTGCTGCCACCTTCACCCACGCCGCCGGAAAGGGGATGTAAGGCGGGGACCCCTCCCCGCCCCACCGCCCTGCCCCAAGCCCTGCCCCAACCCCCTGGATGGCACAGAGAGGTGGTGGCATCGCGGGGGGCACAGGGAGGGGGTGCCACCCCCGGCAGGAAGCGGCGTCGGCTCGTTATGCAACGTTAATTGCAGCCGCCGGCAGCGCGGGTGATGCATCGCGGGCGCCGCGCCCTCACGCCCGCGGCCGATACTCCCGGTACCCGGAATTACCGGCACCGGGCTGAGCTCGGCCTGGCACCCACCGGCACCCACCCGGCAGAGCCCCGGGGGTGCTGCTCCGTGTGCCCCACAAAACCCACCCGAGCTCCCGGGGATGCCAATGCTTCGTGTGATGCCGATGGCCAAACCCTGCCCCTGCACCCACAGAGGGAGGGGACCCCCCGAGAGCTCCTCGAGAGCTCCTCGAGAGCCCCCTGAGAGCTCCCCGGAGCCAGAGCTAAGGGTGCGTGGGGATGATGCTGCCCTGGCTCCTGCTGGCGAAGGAGAAGCCCTTCGACCGCCCGCAGCCTTTTGGGGCTCTAATTACCATCCTGCTAATTACCCGGCCGTGCCCGCCACCGGCACCTGACCCGCTCGTAAGACGTTCGCCCCAAATAACTGACGTCGATCCGCGGCCGTAACCCCGGCGATGGCAATTACAGCCCAGGACGGCGCTTAATTGCTGCTCGGATCGTAAGTCCGGGCTGAATCACCGGGTCGGCTCCCTCGGCGTCCCCTCCTGCCGCGGCCACGTCCCCCCCGGGACCCCCGGGGCTGCCAGACCATCTCCCCTGGGACCCCTGAACACCCCCCTGGGGCAAACCCAGCAGGGCGAGGAGGGATGTGGGTGCTGGTGAGGTGGCCACAGCAGCACCCTGCATCCCCCAAATGTCACTGTGATAAGGGGGAAACATCACAGCAGACCCCACGCTCCAGGTGTGCCCCCCTTCCCCGTGCCTCAGTTTCCCCACGGGAGCACTTGGCTTCTCCTCCCACCACAACCCTGCGAGCATCAGCCACGCTGTGCAAACGGGGGTCATTTAGGTGGGGGAGAATCCCTTTCCCCTGGGGGGGCAGGAAGGGAAACTCCACCCTGGGGCCAACGGGGCTAAGATAGGGAGTGGGGGAAAAAAAAAAAACCCAAACAAACCAAAACCAAAACCAAAGGGTTAAAAAAATAAATAACAATGATCCGCAGCCGGCAATTAAAATGTCCCGGCGGTGGTATTTGCTCTCCTCCCACTGTAAACACTTCTTGCCCAACTCCCGGCCCGCTGCCACCGGCCGGCCCTTATGTAAGTGGCCCCGTGGGCACGGTCCGGCCACGGGGCTCGGCCGTGGCGGGGCGATGGCCCCCGGTCCGCGCTCGGAGCCATCCTGTCCCACTGACACACTTTTCTGCCCGTGGCCGCACGCGCTTGTGTAACCGCGGCCATTAACCCTTCCCGGGGCCGAGCCGGGGCTCGGGGGGGCACCCCTACCTCCCGCCGCAGGGGAGGGGCATTTTGGGGCCTTTTGGGGTGACCCCTCCAGCTGGGGACGGGTGTTTGCCATGCTGAGCGCTCTGTGGGGCACACGGGGCTGTCCCTGCACAGCCCCCAGGTCCCCTGTCACCCCCCCGGACCCGGCCGTGTGTCCCCTCCAGCCCAGCACCGCTTGGCCCGGACCAGGCTGGAGGCTCTGGTGGTTTCGGCAGAGCCAGAGCCGCCCTTCCCGGAGCAGGACTCGGCCTTCGTCCCGTGCCGGCACACCCTCCTCTCCATCGCCTCCGCCCTGAGGGCGGGCATCCCTCCTGCACCCCAAAACAAAACAGGGCAGGCCCTGCAGGATCCGGCTACGAGGGTCCAGACCCCTCCTCTGTGGCCCCATCTTCCTCCTCCTCCTTCCCCATCCCTCCCCTCGGCCATATGATCCCACTGCTGTGGGGGAATCACCCCAAAACCCTCAACCCACCCCGTTGAGCCCCAGGACGTGCTGCTGCTGGAGGCTTTTTGGGGCTGCCCCCTCTCCCGGCAGCTCTGCTGGGTGCCCCCAGCTTGGAGGTGAGGACTCCTGGGAAGGGGGTGTTTTGGGGGGCACTGGCAGGTCCCTGTCTGTGCAATCCCCCAGGACAAACCTGCACCCCCCTCACCCCACGGGGCTGGGGGCAGGATATGGCCACCCCCTCCCTTGGGGTGCCACGTGAGTCCACGGTGCCCAAATGCCAGAGGCAGGGGATGGGCATCCCAGCTCCGAGTGTTTCGGAGGTGGCTCCGTGCCCCTGTGGCCAGCCCTGCCCCAAACACCCCCCGGCTGCCGGGGCAGGCGCTTCCCCAGTGCCCTGGCTCATCACCCAGCGAGCCTGCTGGGAAAGGAGGTCCGTGCCCCATCCCACTGCCGCGCGCGGTCGATGCCGCGGGACGGGCACCTCCGGTAATCAGCAGCAGCCCCGCAGCCCCCCGGCACCCCCAGCCCCGGCCAAGGGCACCGGGATGCTCCCACGCTTCACCACCACCGTCCTCCGCCCTCCCAGAGGGTTCAGCATCCCCCCGGTGCACCCTGAGCAGGGGATGAGGCCAGGCTGCACAGGGACACTCAGGGACCGTCAATGCCACCCCATCTCCCCGTTCCTTCCCTAAAACCCAGCTCTGCTCCTGCGTCTCCTGCAGCAACCTCTGACCCCGGGAGCGACTGCTCTTCCCCGCAGCCTCCAGCCGCAGTTGTGTTTTGGGACAGTGGCTGTGGGGTAGGAGTAAATAAGGAAATAAAGGGAATTATCACTCCATTACAGCTGCTGATGGCTTTGCTTTTAACCAGGCTCCCGTGCTGCGGCACCCCGGGGTTTCCCAGCACCCCGGCATTGGGGCCATGGCTGCTGGGAAATCCCATCCCCATCTGAGCATCCCAGGGAACCCCGAAGAAGCCAGGCCCATGCTGGATGTTCACAGCCTCAGCTCCAGGAGCAGGGACAGCAGCAGCACCCGGGCCACGCAGGCAAGAAGGAAAATTTAGATGACACAACTGCGGCCCTGAGCCAGGCTGGGGTGATGGAGGTGGGAACTGGTTTCCTAATTGATTAGCAAAGGTTTCCTGGAAACTTTGGGCCAGAACACTGCTCAGCTGCTCTCACCCTGCCCCAGGACAACCCTTGGCAACTTTCCCTCATGGCCACGTGGCCGGGGGGGCTTTGCATGCACCCCAGTCCCAGATGAGGAGTTGTTTTTCCCTGTCCGTGGTGCAGTGTGTGTCTCCAGTCGTGGCGTTGGGTGGGCGACGCGGCTCCCCCACGGCCGCCCAGCCCCTGCCCCGGCCGCTCCGGTTCAGCAGCTCCCGTGCCACGCAGCAGCGTGCCAAGGCCAGCCCCGGTGGCGCAGGACGCAGCCCTTTGCACTTTGGCTGGCGCAGAAGGATGGCAAAGGTGAGGCAGCGGGGAGGGGGACCTGCTGCCAGCCCGGGGTGGGGACAAACCGGGCTGCGGAGGGAGAACCCCTCCAGCCCTGCGGCTAAATCGGGGGGAATTATCTCCCTGGGGCTAAATAAAGGCAGGAGAGCAGCTCTGCTCGCCACATCCGATAAACCCGGCGAGATTTAGACATTAGCAGCTCTTTAAATAGCCGAGTTCAAAGTTAAGCGTGACAGGGAGGAGGGAACAGGAGAGGAGGAGGACGGCTTGGGGCCAGGGACCACCATCTCCCCAACGCTGCGCTTCACCCTCTGGGCGCTGCCCCTCCCTGGGGTTATCAGGGTCGAGGATCCCAAATCACGTCTGCGCCACTCAGGACCCCATAAAGCCGGAGGACGGCTTGCTCCTCCAGGCTCATTTTTGGGAAGTGACAGGCACAGCCACCCCGCGGTACCGGGGACAGGGGCAGCCGTCGTGCCGGGAGGGCCGGTGGGTGCCGGCCGCCCTCGGCCGCGCCGGGCGAGCGCACGCCGCCGAAACGGGCAGGGAAGCTCCTCCTCCGCCCTCTCTGATTTTTCCAATGACAGATCTAGGTCACTAGGACAAGTCGCAAAGGCTGCCGAGCCACCGCACGCTGCTCGCCACGCTGCTTGCAAAACAAGTGAGCAGGAGGGCTGGAAACCGTATAGGATTATACAAGGCAAAGCCTCTGCCCCGGCCCCGGTGCATCCGCGGCGCAGGGAAGGACAGGAGCGAGGAGCTGCTGTGGCCCCCCGGGGAATGGGGCAGAGCAGGGGCGGTTTTGGGGAGGAAAATGGAGATTGAGTCAATTTGGCGTCGCCATGCGGCATTCGGGCTTCGAGAGATGAGGACGCAGGACTGCGGGAAAAACACCTCACTGGGGGAAACGGTGGGATATCAGGGGGGTTTGGCCCTAAATGAGGGTCAGCACACAGTAATGGGGGGGGAGAAGGAAAAAAATTATAAAAAAGGAAAAGTTCACCCAGTTGCTAATTAAGCTGGTGCCGGCTGTGCGAGTGCTACGTAAGAGCCGTGTCGGTAATTAGGCAGGTGCTAATGCTTCCCTCCGCACCAATAAAGGTGAAATCCCGGGATGTGGTGGGGTGGGAAGGGGGATGTGGGGGGCTCACCTGGCCCTCACCCTCGCCCGCCCCGGCCCCACCGTTACACAAGAGTGCGGCGGCA